CAAAAAAGATAAGGTGTGCTGATTAGATTTTAGTGTAAAGTTAACACTAAAATAAGAAATTCACTCTAAACAAGATCAATTATCTAACACTTCTAAATCTAAGTTTTTTATCTTGATAAGATTCAAATAATTTGCAGTGTTGAAATCATGGATTGTGTTTTTCTATTTGATCACATTCTTGTGACCAAATGCAAAAGAGAAAACATCCGTAGTCATAAGTCAACGAGGGCCCACAAAGGATGTGGATTTATAAGGAAATAGCTGATCTAGAAAAGCTGTCAAGGCCTAAATTACCTCAAGGATGTAAATTACGACTGAAAAACAGAAATAAGTTCCTCCAGATGTTTCCAATTAACAAGCTTTCAATAAGATCTGCGTCTCACCTGTGATGAAGGTGTCCTGCTTGTTCTCCCTGTTTTCCCTCAGCCTGATCTTCTCCTTGGAGGCACAGTCTTTCTCCATGAAATATGTAACCAAGATGGTCTCCAGCAGGCTGAGCAGCATCAGAGCGAAAATCACGACGCAGTAGGTGGCTGAGTGGAGGAGACAAACAATAACTGCCTTTTTGTTTTGTTGATCTCTTGACCTCTCAATGAAGCACAACACGGCGTTCAGAATGCCCTGAAAGCAGGAGTCAGTACCTATGAGGGGAGTCTTGTTGGACATGGAGGGCAGGATGTCATTGAGGATGAGCAGCAGGACGGAGATGGCCAGCAGTATGGTGACTTTGAAGCCCAGCTTCTCTCCTCGGCGGTCTTCGATGAAGAAGGAGGCGAGGTCCAGAATCAGGAAGAACAGGATGGGCAACAGGAAGTTGGTGACGTGGAGAAGTGGCCTCCTCTTCATGGTGAACTGGAAAAATAGGTGCAAAGGTCAGACTAGATGGACGGGGGGAAACCGATTTTACTTGCGTAAACTCATTTGATTATTTCTATATATATCTATATGCATATAGACAGATATACGTATGATATTTACACATATATTACATGTTTATTTATTCATTTTTTTATTTAATAAATCTTGAATCTCCTTTTTTGGTTACCATAAGTAATATATATTAATAAAGCAGAAGTTAACTAAAGTGAAAACAAATTAGAATTTAGTGCACACAAATTCTCTATTGTGTATCCAGAGAAAAACTAGTTCCAACACCAAAACAAGAACATAATGTAAACGTGTGTGTGTGTGTATATAAGTACATACGTACAGTGTATATGAGATATTCCCACTGTTTATTGTCTATGGTGAAATTTTGACTGGTTACGGTCAGTTGGAGGAACTCCCACTCTCCCTGAGTCCTTATCACCTCTCGGGAAAACTGGGTGGCCCGAGACGAGTTGGAATACCGGAAAGACACGAATCTCATCAACTGAGGAGACGGGGAGAAAGTCTGAGTGAAAGGACCTTGGGGCCGGAATGAGATTC